CCCTTCGCTGAATCAAACCTCTGGAGCAACCAGCCCACCCAAGAAGAAGTATCCGTTTGATTAATCCTCATACTCAAGCTTCCCCCGAACCAAACAGCCTCCACCCACGGGCATTGCAAAAATATATGTATAATTGTTTCATCCTGATTCTTACAAATCGGGCATAACGGAGATGGGGAAGATTTTATTCGGAAGAGGTTTGCCATAGTAGCCACAGCTTCCTGAAGGGTCTTCCATAAAAATCATCTGATTTTTGGATAAGCCTCAAGTTTCCACACACATTTCCACAGATGGGCAGGAATGGTGACCGATGATCCAATATTAATACCCCCATGGGGCAGATTCTGACCAACCACCCATTTATGTCCGGATTTAACTAAATATACCCCCTTTTTATCCAGGGGTCAAACCAAACGATCACGTAACAAAGGGTCTCAAATATGGGTCTCAAGGATAGCATCAAACTCGGACCTTTCCAGGAATGGCTTTAGAAAATCAATATCCCACATTCTATTCTCAGAGCAAATAAGCGAATTAACCACCAAATTATTAGAAATCTATACCGTCCCCGATGGAGAAGGTCTTCCCATTGGAATAGACGGGATCCATGTATTAACCCACACCCTAACCTCATTTCCACTCATAATCTGTCAATGAGCTCCATTACATAAAATGTCCCTTCTAGTGAGGAGGCTAGACCAGGCCCAAGAGGCTCTCCCACCCCTTTTAGCATCCATGAATGAACAATTAGGGAAGTACTGTGCCTTAAGCACCAAACCCCACAGAGAATTCGGCTCCTCAATTAATCTCCAACACTGCTTAGCCAACAGGGCATCGTTGAACACCTCGAAACTCCTAAGACCTAACCCGCCCATATCATTTGCCCATCCCAACTTCTCTCTAGAAACCTAATGAATACGTTGTTCACCATCTTTTTGCCCCCACTAGAACTTCGACATCATGGCATCCAACTCATTGCATAGAGAAGTAGGAAACTTGAATAAGTTCATAGGATATGCAGGGATTGCTTACACCACCGCTTTTATGAGGACCTCCCGCCCCGCTTGAGAGAGAACGGCTTTCTTCCATCCCCTGAGCTTACCTAATAATCTTTCTTTAACATAGGCTAGCCCACTTTTTTTCGAACGACCCCAAATAGCGGGAACCCCCAGGTAGACACCTGGATCTCCAACCCTCTCCATACCCAGGATGTTCGCCAAATGAAATGATAAAGACTCAGGCACATTGTTTCCAAAAAATACGCTTGACTTTGACTTATTAACTTTTTGACCCGACGCCAAGCAATAATCATCAATGACTTGGGATAATTTTCGACAATTCTCCTCCTCAACTCTCAGGAAAATCAGAGTATCGTCAGCAAAGAAAATATGGGATATTGTCGGGCCAAGCTTGTACATTTGGACTCCTCTGATCCAACCTCTATCACTAGCCTGCTGGATACGAAGTGATAACACTTCACTAACCAACAAGAATAGGTAGGGGGAAAGCGGATCTCCTTGTCTGAGCCCCCTAGAAGGCGCAAACTTAGTTCCAGGAAGACCATTCAGAATGATTGCAAAATTCACAGAAGAAATGCATCCCAGGATCAAGCTTATCCACTTACTGTCAAACCCCAATTTCTCCATCACTGCCATTAAAAAATCCCATTCCACCCAATCGTAGGCCTTATGCATATCCAGTTTAATGCCCAACTCGAATTTGCATTTCGCTTTCCTCAATTTAAGAAAATGGAATAATTCATGCGCAATTCCAATATTGTCTTGGATTTGCCTTCCTGCCACAAAGGCGTTTTGGGTAGGGGAAATTAACTCCGGAAGAAACGGCTTGAGATGATTCACCAAAATCTTCGAAAAAACCTTATAAGGATAGTTGCATAAACTGATGGGCCGAAATTGAGAAACGGATTTCGGGTTTTGAACTTTCGGTATCAGAACCAAATGAGTAGCATTGATTCTCATGGGATTTTCTAAACCATGCATCAATTCTCCAATAATTTCATTCACATCCGCAACAAGAATGTCCCAATGAGCCTGACAGAAAATCCCCGGGAAGCTATCCGGACCAGGGGCCTTCATCCCACCCATCTGTAAAGTAACATCTTTCACTTCATCAACCGAGACCGTACCAGTAAGGGTATCATTCATTTCATTGGTAACCTTTGGAAGCATACAATTGAGGATTTCTCCCCACTCCCGGTTCCCAGATGATTTGAATAACTCCATGAAATGATCATCCACCAAACTCCTAATCAGACTTGGGCTTTCAATCCACTCTCCGTTGCTATTTTTTAAAGTCACCACCTTATTTCTTCGTCTTCTTTGAAGGGTAGACTGATGAAAGAATTTGGTGTTGGCGTCTCCCTCGTTTAGCCACTGCACCCGGGATCTTTGCTGCCAGTAACACTCCTCCTGCCTTCATAATTGATCAACATTGTTGGAAAGAGCCACAATTTCCTTCTTATTCTCCTTCCAATTATGTTAGAGACGACCCAGACATTCCAACATCTCTTTAATTTGCCTTCCAAGGTTACTGAATTTTCCCCTGCTCCAGTTGATTAATTTGGCACGACAAATATTGATTTTATGATTCCATCTCTCAATAGGACTCCCCTCCCTGGAATGATTCCAAGCATTTCTCACGATGTCCCTGCACTCCCCGTCCTTAGCCCAAAGGCCTCAAAGCGAAACATCTTTTTCGATTTATTACTCTTAGGCTCACAAATTACCACCACAGGACTATGGTCAGACCCTAGAGACGTTCCGATTTTAATCGACGTATTTGGCCAAGTAGCATTCACCAATCCCCTATCCAGCCTAGCCTCCACCAGCTGTCCATTTCGAGTCCCCCTCCAAGTAAATTTGGGTCCATTAAATCCCAAATCCATAACCTCCACCTTGCACATAAACTCCTCCAGGTATCTGGGACGGTTGTATCTCACTTTCGCTCGCCCAGATTTTTCATGATCCCATAAGACTTCGTTAAAATCCCCTCCACAAATCCATGACATATTATCCGGGCTGAAATTCTGAATCATACCCCTCCAAAATTCCTCATTCTCCATCCTGTACGATGTCGCGTAAACTCCGGTAAACTGAAATTTAACCTGCGAGTCAACCAACCCACATCCAGCATCAATAAAATGCTTAGAAAATTCCATCACCTCCACTTGGACAGAGTCCTCCCACCATAAGCTAAGCCCTCCAGCTCTCCCGATCGGAGCTACATCAAAACCATTTGAGTACCCCATCCGCCTTCTTACTCCAGCTATTCGATGATCTTTCATTTTGGTTTCTGAAAGAAAAATCATCGAAGGTCTGTGTTCCCTTATTTGCCCATGTAAGGCACGAACCATCGTGTCCGACCCTAGACCACGGTAGTTCCAAAACAGGTGTATCATGGCGATCTTGCGGCTGAGTAAGGCCAGTCGCCACCACCTCGGGATGAAGACCCCATTTTTTTGGACCTCATCAACGATCTAGTCAAATTCCCAAGCCTGCCCATCAAACTCCACTTGTCCAACCTCTGTTTTTCGCCTTCCACCACTACCTCACACACCAAAGTCCACTGCTGCCACGGCAAATCCAAAAACCGCCACCTCGGGTGCCTCACAAACACCCAAAAGTACTTCATCCCCTTGCTTCTATCCAATTGCTCTGATCTCTTACCAAAATCTTGGCTCATCTCAAATTGCTCAATCTTTTCCCACTCCTCTTGGTCCTTCACTTCCCTAATCATCATCACCCTCTTGTCGGTGAACCTCCCCCGGATCAGTTGGCCAACAACAACCTCGCATCACATGCACGGCCCCGTATTCCCCGTGCTTGTACCAATCATGTGGGTGACGCAAATTGGGGTTGTCTTTCTCCATAAACCGGACCATCCAGTCGTACCCGAGCCCAATTTGCTGGAGCTCATCGTCAGTGAAGTTATCGGTGTACTTTCGGCCATGGTTCTTGAGTCGGTAGAAAATTCGACAAGCCTTTTGCTTTTCCGCCGAGCAATCTCCTTCACTTCCCGGTAAAACTTTGCGTTACCCTCGATTCTGCTTGGGGATGGCCAGTTTCAAGCCTTCTTTTTGCTCTGCTCGGCGTATAAGCGGAGGTTCCGCCAGAGTTGGGAAATTTGGCAGGAAAATGTGAAATTGGGGTTCGAATTTTATGGGAATTGGAAGAAAGAGTTGATGGAGAGTGTTTTTGGGGGCCGCGGTGAGGGGTTTTAAGGTTAGGGTTTTGTGGAGGAGATTGAAGAATGGCGTGAGGAGGAAGAGAGAGGGGTTTAGAGAGGGAAGGGTCTTGACTCAGCATTTTCGATTTCTTAGACGATTAGACCAGTGCAGTCTTTAATTAGAGATTAAATAGATGATTTTATCTTTACATACGATATGATGATATTTCTTTTTACTCGTAAGTAAGAGATTTTATATTTGAATCTCTTAAATAACGAATTTGATACTAAATTAGATTATCTATTGTGCAATTTACCTGAATTGCTATCGTGATTCATCACAAGTAGGTTTTAAAGTCACATTAAAAGTACCATGCCATCTTAAAAATCACGAAAAAAATTTAACCAAAAAAAAAAAGTTGGTTACACTGTAACTTTCTTAGGGTGAGTAACATCTCGTTTTAAATTTAATAAATTTAGAAATTAAATTTGATTTACAATTATTTTAGGTAGATTTCACAAAAGAAAAAATAGTTGGGTTAGTTCATACCAAAAAAAAAAAATAGTTGGGTTAGTTGATCGTTGGTACATCACCTTCATTTCAAGAAATTTTTCATTATGATCGGAACATGAATGAATGGTATATCACGTATTTTTATACAAATTGTAAGAAATTTTATTTGTTAAATTATTAATTTTTTAACACATATATCATAATCATACTATCATTTATACAGTAACACGTGTGCCATCCGTACGGTTTCACTGAAAAATTTCTCCCTTCTGCTACTTTTAACGGCTAAACGATGCGGGCTTCGGGCACTTAAATTAAACAAAAAGTACTGCCTGTAAATTTCCACCTCTTGCTTCAACCTCCTCCTCCTTTTCTAACTCCGACCCAATCAACCATGGCGAAGCGAACTCATACGACGGAGCTGGGCAGCATCGCCTGCGAGGAGCTCGGCGAGCTCGGCGCGGGAAAGGAAGGCTGGTTCGACAACCCCAACCTCCTCTGCGCCCTGGACACCCAGTCGCTCGCTCTCGCCAACCGCTCCGTTATTGTGTTTCTCGGGTGGGCCGACTCCGACGGGACCCCCCTCAAAATTCGACCCGAATTGTCCCCGATCGAGGCGGAGTTCGTCACGGCGGTGGAGTGGTTGGTGTTTGACGAGGTAAGGGTGGTTGTGGCCGGGACTTCGTCTGGGTATCTCCTATTTTTCTCTTTGGATGGAGATTTGATTCATAAGCAGGTAAAGCTGCTGCATTGGTAATCTGGGTTTGATTAGATGAAAATTTGTCTTTGAATGATGTGAATTTTATTGTGTTTGGTAGATTTTTGCATATGGGGTTTGTAAATGCAATAATTATGTATGGCATTGTGATTTTTTCTTGTAGTGGTCATTGAAAATTTGAATTATTGAGTTTAATTTGTTTAGATTTTGCATGTTGGGTATGTAAATATGATAGTTTTGTATGCCATTGTGATTACTTTTGGTATTGGAACCCATAACCAATTGAGAGAGGGATCAAATGGAGTAGAAACTAGAAACCCATGTCTGGTAGAAAAATTTGCACTCTTATCATTCAGTTCCTGTTTGCTTGCAAGGAAACTTCAGAAACTGATAGGGAAAATGAAGTTCAAAATTTTTATTCATGTTCTAGAAACAAATCTACAATGCTGTACACTTTTAAACTCAGCTTCCAATCAAGAAAAAAATCGACATTACTTCAGATCATTCATCCTTTGAATTTCATTTTTCTTAAAAACAGAAGCTTTAATGAATTCCCATTAACCAAACAAAGTAAAACCTAAAATTAAAATTTGAACAAACCTTCAAAGACAGAAATCCTTTAACCTTTTCTACCGAAGCAACTGACTCAGACCCAAAGTCAAAGCAATCCAAAATGACACCACTTGGTCACATAGAAACCTTTAGGGTCTCTGCTGACCAACCCCAGCCTCAGAGCCTGGGCGCAATCAGTTCCAAGCACTTCTTGCACAGCAACCTTTTTGATTTCGCGTATGGGTTTGTTAGATTTTTGCGTACGGGGTTTTTAAGTACAACAGTTTCGTATGGCATTGCGATTATATCTGGTGGTGATTATTGAAATGTTGAGTTATTGAATTTAATTCGTTTAGATTCTGCATATATGATAGTTTTGTATGCCATTGTGATTACTTTTGGTATTGGTTCTGTTGGAAAATTGAGTTATGGTCTACTGGTCTTGGTCATGCAACTTTAATGATTTTATGTAGGGTTAAACTCTGTTTACTACCCTGAAGTTTTGTAGTTTTCAACATTTAGTACATGAAGTTTTTTTCATCCCAGAGTCATACCTCAAGTCTTAATTTTGGGATAGTTTCATATATCCGTTAAGTTTTCTGTTAGAAATTCTGTTAAGTGATGACATGGCGCTTATGTGGACAATGACTGGGCGCCATGTGTCATTAAAAAATATTAAAATAATTAATTAAATAAAAGTAAATAAAAAAAAAAAAAAAAAATCCAACTCCACACCCGTGCCCACTCACCCGTCTTCCACCTCCCTTCCTTCTTCCCTCTGCAACACCCTCTTCGGCTCCCCCTTTTCTCTCCCCCATTTTTATCCCCCCTTCTCCACAACCATCACCTCATCCACCATTCCTCTCCTAACCCCACCCCCCTCTTCCTCCTCCTTATCCTGCACCCCAACCCAAACCCCCGCCCCCAAACTGCAAGCTATACTAACCACACCATTTTCGACCCCAATCCAGCCTCACCCTCCTTCCCCCATAAATTCATCCAACCAAACCCACATAACCCACCTTAGAACCCCAGAAGGAAAAGCTTCCAAACACTAGCAGAGCGCCGTCGAACACCGTCGCTCACACGCCACACCCTCCCTCCTACCCCGTCTGCCTCCTCCTTCCCCTATCACTCCCCCAAACCCACCATTTAATTCCCCTTCAACCCCAAACCGTACCCTCACCCTCACCACCGCACCACACTCATACGCCTCTTGGCCTCCATCGAAGCCCCATAAAAGATCGAAAAGCTCCACCTTAAGAGGATGGTTGTCTATGACGAAAGTCTCGAGCTTCTTTCTAGGTAATTCCCCAATTCCAAGTCTCTTCCTCTCTCCTCACATTTCAACCCAAAACTGAAACCCTCAACGTCGCCGCAGAGCTTAAAAATCTGCAGCTTTTTGTTGCTATTCTTCCTCCAGTGGTGAGAGAGGAAGGTCAAAGTGGGAAGGAGAGTGGGGATCTTGCGGGAGTGTGGGAGTGATTTGGAGGTGGGTGAGGCCGCGAGGGTGCACGTTCCCAGTTCCAGTTGGTTTTCGTCGGAGGAGGTAGAAAGGGAAATGGAGAAATGGGGTTTCCGTGCACGATAAGGAGGATGAAGGTGGGGTTTCGGTCTGGATTTAGGTTAGGGTGCAGGATAAGGAGGAGGAAGAGGAGGGTGGGGTTTAGGATGGATGTGCAGAGGTTGGGTAGGTGCAGAGAAGAGAAGGGAGGGGGGTCGGGGTGGGGAAGACAATAGGGTTATGGGTTTTTTTTTTTAATTAATTATTTTAATATTTTTTTAATGACACGTGGCTTCCAATCATTGTCCACATGGCGCTACGTCATCACTTAACGGGAGAATTAACAGTTTGACTAATGGATGTATGAAACTGTCCCAAAATTAACACTTTAGGTATGACTCTAGGACGAAAAAAACTTTATGTACTAAATGTTGAAAATCACGAAACTTCATGTAGTAAACAGAGTTTAACCCTTTTATGTATTAACAGATGGTATATCCCGAGCGGATTATAAGGTTGAGAGTCCGTGGAACGAAGAGAGATTTTACCCATGAAACATCCTCAGAGGAGGTTTGTGTTGTTATGCCTGGCATAGTTGCTCGTTTTGATGGCTCGGATATTCAGGTAGGGAAAACCTTTTGTTTTTTCATTCCTTGCTATGAAGAGTTGTACCTGTAAAGTCATCTTTGAGCATGAAGCATGTGTCTTGAATCTTTAAGTTCCCATACTTTCACTTAATGTAATGTAATGATAAAGTATTTCTAGTTTAAATTAACAAGGTTGTATGTGATGTCTATAGGCAGAGACTTCGAAAAATTTAGGTCCCCTTATTTTGTGGGTTAAAATTTGGAGTTGTTTCTAGCGTTTAGAAGCTCAGTTGGTGTGGGTTCTAATAATATGCTTGGAATACAGAATATGCTGCTCCAGTGGTTTGAAGATACACAGTCTCAGTTCTGGGATCAAACACTCAAAAAGCGAGGCTCAGATGATTTTGAACATTCCTATGGTAAATTACCTTACCAGTTATGGAGTGTCAGCAAGTATGGTACTTGTGCTGATGCAGCCATTACTGGCATTATGCCTCCGCCACTGATGGAAATCCAGGTATATTCGCCCTGCGTATTTAAATATGCTGATGCTTTCCATTTTAATTGCATGAAAAGGATCAAGATTATAAAAACACACATTGTACCCAAAACATAATAAAACAAGATGGTCATTTGTCAAGTTCAAGAAATTAAAAGCACACATACCATGTAATGTTAAACTGCAATTAGTGTAGTCAAAAGTCAGAAATAATCAATTCCATTGAGAATAACACCAACTGTTCAATAAAAGGACTTTAGTCTGCCCCGGATATAGGAGACCAGCTCAAAAAGGAAGTTATCTTCATGATGAAATTGTTGATTCTCTTGAGAAGCACAGGATCCTGGGAGCTATTGATAGACATTTTCTATTTTATCTTATCTATTTCCTTTTACTTGTCTCCATCGTCTATGTTATTAGGTTGACAGATTCATTTTCAAATGAAAATCTCTCTTCATCTTCATCTGCTGAATTATTCGGTTCATTGGATGGAGAGCAAACTCCATGTACATTATAATCTATCAGAGCATTTATTCTTCACTTTCACACCTTCGCCTATGTTCTTGAGCTTCCTCCAGATCCTTTTTCCAGTGTTTCTCCATTTCAATCAAATAATGTATGTTCATGTCACCCTGTCCTGTGACATTTGCAAGGTTTATCAGCTTCCATCTTGATGGAACAAGGTTCTGTTGAGTTGACAAGTTAAAAAGAAGTTAATAGGTGGGGGATATATATGACAAGATACCTTGCATCAAAGTCAATTGGAAGCTTGAAAGTTCTTGAAGAACTATTTTCCCCCATTGACAAATCTCAAAATCTTAACATTTATACCACACTGATTTTGTTTGTCATCTTGTAAATAATGAAATAATCAAAGGAACTTCATTCTTAGATTTATGCAAATTTCTTTCGGTAATGTTTACAATTTTGTTTTGTTGCCATTTTGGTCAATTTTTTCGTAGTTGTTTTTTGTTCTCTCTATTCCCCTTCTTCTGATAGTAATGCTTCGGTCTTTTCCCCATAAATCATGGAAAACCTTCTGAAGTTATTCTGGGTTTGAATTCAGCTGCTTTTATTGTTGGGCAGTCAACTGAACATTATTTATGTGGAATCACTGTTGGAGAGGATGCAGTGATTTCGGCCTTCAGGTTAGTGTGGTGGGATGATACAACTTACAGGTTTTCTACTGAGTGTTAAATGCAGTCTTATATCTGTTTCACTTAAAAGTGCCCATATTTATTGACGACATTTGGTTTCTCCATATAAAGACTATCGGAAGACAATAATAGGTCTTTGGTGGGGGCAATCTTGTCTAAAGTTGTGCCTGCAACATTTTCAACAATAGCTTCATTATCAAAAATGATTTGGGGGAGCGATCAGACTTCATCTAAAAAATCAGAGGAGAAACCTCAACCATTTGCACAAGGTGAGATTAATTTACTGTAGTTATTTATTTAAAGTTCATAATGTTGTTGCCTAAGTACATTTGTGTAGTCTTTCCACTAGAATGTATAAATGAAAGAAGAACAGGGTTATAAGCACAAAGAAGAGAGAAATGGCAACTCATCTCGAAAGTATCTACTTCCCTTGCATCCATGTATTTGGTGGTCATGCCCCCTACTTGCATCACTATTTGTGTTTTCCATACTTTGTTGGCTCTTGGAACTTTGCTAATATTGTTTGTATAGAAAGAAATAACAGTAACCTTTTTTTTTTGGTTAAAAAATAAGAAGAAATATGCACGAACATGCATTTGGACTGGTAATGGAACTAAAGTAGGTACCTCAGTTCCTCTGTGTGTGCAACATTCATTCAAGTCTAAGGAGGTAAGTGATTTGACCTGGCTTTTTGTCAGCTCAAAGGGAATTAAACTATAAGGGCTCGTATGGTGCCTAGGATTGGAATGGATTGGATCATAAAATGCATGGTATGTGGTGGGTGATTTTAATATTTGAGGAGATTAGAAGGGTATTAGACATGAAGAAAACTTATCCCTTCTAATCCTACCATTTTGGAGAGGAGTGTAATTAATAAGTTTTCTTAATGAGTAATCCATCTTCTACCTTCAAGTAAACAACAAACGAGGCCTAAGTTTTAAACACTACTATTATAATTGATTTTTTCTTCATGGATTTGGGAGTCTAGTTACCAATCATTAGTTAACTCTTGTTTTTTGCTCACATGTGATTTTATTTGTGACAGCTTCTCCATTGACATGTTTGAAGGATTTCCCAAGAAAGGGTGAGAAGCTTACCTTATCACCTAGTGGCACATTGACTGCGATTACAGATTCACTTGGTCGTATATTGCTTTTAGATACTCAAGCACTTGTGATAGTGCGGCTTTGGAAGGTTTTCTCCCAGAAACCTTAAATTACTTAAAAGTTTTTCTTTCTCCTTCGTTTTGATGTTGTAGTTTTTCCCTGATGGTGGTATGAGTCGATTTGCAGGGATATCGGGATGCTAGTTGCCTATTCATGGAGATGCTGGTCAAAAAAGATACTGCAGCTTCAAATTCAAGTCACTATGAACCCACGAAGAGTGATTACTGCCTGTGTTTGGTTATTCATGCCCCTCGAAAAGGAATTATTGAGGTAGTTTCTTTTACCGTTTCCTTTAAGGAACTCTCTCCTTTTTCGGACATGCAAGCAATCAAAGATCTTTTTCATTCTCTTAGTTGCATTTTTTGTAGTTTATATATTTACAATAATGAGACTGCAAAATTAAAATAGCATAGACTCCATTTCCTCTTATCTTCAAAGAAACTATCCATACCTGGCATTCTTTAGTACATTGTTACTTATTTCAAAAAAACAGAACGCAAAGGTAAGAGTCTTAATTCCCAAAATTAATTCATGACTGTTTTGTAGTGTTATAGATCTGATGGAACCGCTTCGAACCGACATCTTACCATTATGTATCTATAACTTCAGAATGAGACGCGGGTGAGGTGGTGAGGAGATAGTGTGGAGGATGGCGAGAGGACCTAAGAATCGAGATAGGAATAGAAATGATCGGAAGAAATATGAAGAATGAAGAAGGTCTAGGAAAATAATAGTTTTATGTATATTGGACGTTGATTGGCGAAGATTCTTCGTCGTGTGGGATATGGTGTAATTAAGAAAAAGAAACTGCAAGATGGTGTTGCAAAGTGATTAAAGAATCTAGGACTCGAAGGACAATAGAAATTTCGAAATAAAATATGTTTTACTCTCGTTAGAATCAGTGCAAGATATTGCAGATAAAGAGACCGGACCAAGGACATTCGAAGCATATACAGGTGACGGAAATTGTGCAACCAGGAGGTTTACGACAGAAGTACGAGACAGACGCAATACGGTATAGAAGTATAGATGTCATTCAAATAGCCGTGAAGGTCGTTATTTACACTTATGGGAGGTTTATATGAAGATGAGAACGGTAGACATACACAGAAAATACATTTATCCACTATCAGTTTAGAACCGCTATCTCGTCATAGATCGATGTAAGATGAGCCAAGCGAGTGTGGGAAGTCGATAATATAATTAGTTACATGAACAGATGAAACTCGCTGGATGTTACCATGAGTAAATTTAGTGTCTTTATTGGATCTCACAGTCATCTTCATTCACACTGTCTACCACGTCTCACTTTAACGAACACATGTCTCAAACTAGAGCACGCACGGCCGACTCATTCGGGATAGACTACGTAGCTCCGAAACCGTGTCACGCAATGACAATTTACTCTCATTCTAAGTAATCACTATTTGTAAACCGACAGTGAAGAAGCCTCGATGTTCAGCTAATTTGGTTTGTAGAAATTCCTGCGCGTCTGAGTTATTCTATGGGATGTGGGTAGTGAAGTAACTATCTTACTTGTGTGGTCCATCCTCCCCTCTAATCGATACATTCGCTCACTTTACATCTTAATGATTTGAATAACTGTGGATTTTCTTGAGAGAATCAGGTCATATCTAGACACTGTGCTACTACTCTTCTTTATCACGTCCAAAACGATTTGGCCATAATGCCATTCACGTTAGATAATAAAATTTGGTATTTACATTAGAGATAAAAGAAAGCCAATAGAGACCAAGAAATTAGGGTATCACAAATTTTTTTCTTGCTGGGTTATATTCAGTTTCACTTTTTTCTCTCCAGCAATATAGAAAAGGAACTCTCCAGCTGGCCCAAGCTCTTGAAAGTACTAATCATCTTCATTTTCTTCAATACTCTTATTCTAAATGACTTCATATTTACAGAAGAATGCATTATTACCAAATATATAAGCATATCAACCAAATTCCAACAATTAACCAATCATGTGGTTTCTCAGATACGTTTTCTCATAAAAGGTTACGTGCTTTTGTTATTTTTTAGGGGTAATACATCGTTGCAGTATTTTGACACATCAAACATGCCTAATATTCGGGATCTGGTATATTTTCATCGTTTACTACTAACAAAAAAACAAATGTTTATGTGATCATCACAAGTGAGTGGTTGTATTCGGAATATTGACTCAAAAGTACTACACTGACTTATGATCATAAAGAAAAGAACAATCTTAAATTCGATTGTCTTTATTTGTGTGAAGAATATGTATATTACTCACTAGTCGAGAGTCTTTCATCAATTTATCAACGAATTAGGTAGTAAAAATAATGTTAATTATATGATGCTCTCTCAACATATTGCTAGTTCCTTTTTACATAAGAAATTATGTGGGAGTTATTTAACGGCCCGTATATTAAGAAAAAAAATAGCAAAATATTATTTTTTACCAATTATGATGAATTTTTGCAAGAACTAAGCCTCTCGAGTATCACTCTCCACATGTGTAGTCCTTACAAAAGACTTAGGAAGCTATCTTATGCATTGACTGCAGCAGTCTACGGTGGAGTTCTGCTTTTTTACTATAATGTGACGATGGGCAAAAATGTGTTGACAATGCAGATCCTACACAACGGCCTGAGCAACATGGTCCTAGGCTCCCATCATCCTCAAGTTACAAAATAGAAAATTTATAATAATAATCTCGTGGTGAGAATTATTCGTGGAATATGGGATCCGGTGGTCCCGATGATGAATAAATGCTGGTACAGGTCTGACCTGAAAATTGCTTATGCTTAGGATGTGAGAAGAATCATGTTCGCATTCGCTCTCGCAATCAAAAGGAAGAGATGACAGAAAAGTTGCAATTATAAAATATAGTAAGGAGGTAAGCTGCCCATTCTCCTGTCCACTAAATTTATCACGTAGTCGTTCTTCTGGGATATTATCTCTTCGACAAAAAACTATCCAGATTACACTTTACACCAAAATACTACATTGAGACATGCTTGTGTTTTCATCAAAACACATTCCATTTACTTTTAGTCCAGATTTAGGCACTTAGATCATTTAGATTTACAACAAAAGAGGATATAGCTTTAGATACATTTTCTTTAGGACGTAAAATGTACATTCGGTAGTTAAATAGATTATCTACTAAATTTGCCTACGCCATTCAGCACTTATATTTTCGACAGACTTGTTTTATCGGTAATTTTCTTATTGGAAATTAAGGTTATTGTGGGGAAATGCTTTTAACAAAATGATCGAAAACTCGGATTTTTGAAAAAATATTTTTGAGTTCAAAATCATCTTTTATAAGTGTATTTTTCAAAACTCTTACATTAGTCGCGTAACTGTTTTAAAACGATTAAATTCAATAAAACGATATTTTATTCTTTAAGAAAATTTCTTTACTCCAGTATTAAAAGATGCATTTCCAAAACAAGACTTCTGTAAACAATTTTAAGTAAGCTATTTAATTTTAGAGGTTTGCCTCACTAATAAAAAAAAGTTATTTTGCCTGATTAATGAAAAAATTTTAGATTTTTTTTCAAACTAAAAATCGGCAACTTAATTATGTCGATATATTTATCAAATCTGATGTATTCTAGTATTTCCAATTTTTGGTCCAAGTTTTTTTTTTTACATGAGAATGATTGAGTTACATTCTGTAGTCTCTCAAATTTTAAATCTTATGTCTCAACATTTGTTCTCATGTTTACAGTATAGAATCAATTCACATTAAAGTTACACTCTAGAACTCTGATATTTTCATATCATCCATACATAAAAGAAACATATCTAATACTCTGGACAAAAAATCCTGGAAAAAGCGACACAAATATGAAAATACGTCCTCAACTTATACTAGATAACTGATTTGATTTTTTGCTGGACTTCGCTTAAAGATTAAAACAAGTGCATCATATGAATTGGAAATGCGCAAAGACAAGACTATCTCTTTCTCATATCGAGCCAGCAACAGCGCTCAACTCACGAAATATCGCCGATACTCATGAGACCTCTCTTCAATCATCGCGCCTTAGCCACCACTCGCATCCCTCATCTCGACAGACACCCAACCGACTTCATCTCTGTGAATACGAATGCGTTGCCAATGTACCCATCAAACTAACCTCCTCCGGAGTCGGAGGTTCTCTCCTGCACTCGGAAGACTTCCTACAAAGCCTCAATCACAAAACAGAACCCCGCATAACACCAAACTCCAACTCTCTTACTTCGAAGTAGATAAGACCATAAACTCCACAATAAGAACCTCCCTCACAAACAAACCCCAAGACCCTGCACAGTTCACCTCGTTTCTTTTCAGAGCAAACGACTAACTTTTTTGATATTCCCTATTAGTACGCGCAAGGCTACAGATATCTTTGCCTTAAAGTCAGGCACCCTCCCTCGCCTGCCCATCTCAAACATTTTCTAAAATTGTCCTCGATGGAATGCCACCTGCAAAGGGAGGCAATTTGATCGGATTTTTGGAGTTGGCTCGAGCGGGCGCGTTTCGTATGTACGGAGCCCCTTCTTGGCTCAGGGGATTAGCTCTCATTCAAAAGGATCCGCGTGAGAGTTGCTACCGTACACGGAAATGACATGTTTCAGGAGCTTGTCGTGGGGCAACAGGACACATTGAGCGAAAGGGTACATTATCGTATCTCCTGAGTGTCATATTCCATGAGGATTCTCGAAATCTCTTTAAGAAGACTATATCTTTCGCGCTTTTTTGATTTCTTTTGTGAGGAATTGTATGCATATATTGTATTGAAAAACCCTATCACCTCCGAAGTATATAACCAATGTGCTCCTCATAATAAGCAATTCTTGTTATTTACCCTGCAATGAGAGAATAGTGTTATGAGACTCATCTCCACACCCGTGTGGAAACGAGAGAAGACAGTATAGGGACAGTGTATGGATTAAGGACTCTTGCTTGCCCTCTGTAAACTTTATTAAGTTACTTGGCTGCATGAATTCGTCTTGAGCTCATTTCAAGATATCTAGTCGAAAAGTGCGCACGTAGCCCGCCCTTATGACAGCTTAGCATGTGTGGTCATAGTACGTTTTCGTTAAAATCCAGTGCGAGGAGATGGGGCTACTCGGACCGATTGATTAGTCGCAATTGAAGTTTAGTGTACTTTGAAATGGAGTCCCGTACAAATAGATAGTGTAGTGGCGTACCATGATCGCCTCGCGTGCGTGTGTAGACGTAGAACGGTTGAAGCCTGATTATGTCCTGTGCCAGATTATCTCATGCCTTTGACGGAGAACTTGTTGAATGCAAAAATTTTATAGGTACTGATAACAAAACACTGAGTCGCATATTATGAGCAGTAATCGTAATTTGCTGCGAGATACGAAATCCTATATGACGGTCGTTTCACCAACACCGTCAGTGTGGAGGGTTGGTTGCCTGTATTTTAAGGAGGTACTAAGTCCAAAGTCGAGGCGGACGCCTTTCATACACAGACTAGGATCTGGATAAGAGTGTGAGGT